ACCGCTGCCTTAAAGCACTTGTTGCTGCTGAGTTTGCATCTTTTGCTGTGAAGTACAGCCAGACTTCTGACCGCTTCGCCTTGGATGTTTTTAATCTGTAGCTCTGCTCTAAAAGAACGTACGTACCTGGACATGCCTACTATCCCTCCCTGAGCCTGGTTCTGCTGGAGGTTTCTTCCTGTTAAAAGGGAGTTTTTCCTTCCCACTGTCGCCAAAGTGCTGTTCATAGGGGGTCACATGATTGTTGGGTTTTCCTCTGTATGTATTGTTGTAGGGTCGATCTTACAATATAAAGCGCCTTGAGGCAACTGTTGTTGTGATTTGAACTGAGGGGAGGAGCCAGAGAGAAATCTGAGCAGGTTAGTGTCTGAGTCTGAGTTTCCCTCATGTCTGTGTTACCACCCTCAGGGTTCACATTTAAAAACTTTCTGGAATGGGGCCCAGATCACTATAATACAATAAGAATGCATAACATGCTTTTCAATGCACTCTTCAAATGAAAGTGCTGCTTCATGCTTGCATGCTGTGTACCGTCCACATCATGGCATGCGACCTCCTTTGTCCTCAGAGTGAAAGCCTTATCCTCGTTACTTCTGTTGGCTGAATCTCCTTTAAACCTCCTCCCTCCTTTGGCTCCTCTCCTTGATGACTAAATCGGATTTTGCAGGTGAAATCAAACAAGAGATCAGACCTTCAACGTGATTCACGTCTTCCAGTTGGTTCCAAAGTTTGGAGCGCTTGGTTTTACACCAGAGGTAAGCAGAAAGGACAGCTGGGAGGTTACATCAGGCGTCTGCGCCCCTCGGGAATGGAGGGCTTATGGTAGCTGCCGAGCGAACGGGGAGTCAGCCAAGTTCATGTTTTGTGAGACCAGACACACGATAATCTAACTCCTGAAAGCTGCTCATAAATACCCGTGCTGTTTTGGCAACAGGGCGGTAATCTGTGCAGCTGGTGGCGAACCCGTGCAGCGGAAAAACTGACACCGCCGACCGACCGCCTCGGAGAGAGGAGAGGAGGGAAGCAGGGATCAGACGAGCTTCTTCTGTCAGAGAAATCTGATTTATTACCCACGAGGAAACTGACTTTGAAAACAAGAGCTCGGTTTGTTGAGGCTGATGTGAAGTCTGTCCACACTCTGTTTGAGGACTTAAGTCACTTTAACTACAACCTGTCAGAAATCATTCCTAATGAGAGATGAAGAGCCGTTTTGGTCCAAAATACAAAACAAAGCAGCAAACAATCACATTTTAGAGTCTTCAGCACACGAATAATGATTAAACCTAATTCCTCAATCCACTGTAGTAACCTCAGGTCCTTTCATGCAGATTAGTGTACTTCAAAGTGCTTCACAGATAATCAGACTTAAGTTAAAAAACTAGGTGTTACAAAGTGCTTTAAACAAAAATAAAAGAAACGATTGTCGTGTAAATTTAAAGCAGATGTAGTTAGTTAAGTTTATTCAATCAAGGACAGCACATGACACGCGTTGCATGAGAACACAATGCAACCGTAGTTGTGTACAAAGGTTTTCTGGCCAAAGGTGATTTGCAATTTACAAATCAAAAGCTGAAGGTTTAGGTTCCTGTTTCTTGATCGAAGCGCCAAACTCAGACTTACTAAACTGTCAAACAGGAAAATTTGATATTTCTGTTGTAAATAAACCGCTTACCCTCCCATCTTTACACCTGTTGATCTCAAACCAGATCCAGCCGGGATTAAGTCAGGTCAGCAGCATCAGTTGCCGTGGCAATGTCAAAAGTGCATCACGTGTATCACAAAGTTCGACTTCATCGTGCGGGGCTCAGGTCACACTTGAAAATGAGACTTTTACTGCATAAAGAATCAGTCGTTTTTCTGTAAGAGACAAACTGCCGTCAA